CCCCACAAGCAAGGCGGGCAAGCCTGGCATGGACCTGGCCCGGGGCTGGGGACAGCCCGGCCACCACCACGGCTGCTCCTCGGGTGGGACCGGGGAGGCAGCGGAGGAGCAGAGCACAGCAAGGAGGAAAAGCACAGCTCCTCCGGGCGCTCATCGAGGGGCCCAAGGCAGGACGCAGCAACACCAGAGACGAGCATCACGCCACCCACCGTGATCTTACTGGCCCGGTTCAGCGCCTCCACCCAGTCCTGCAGGTCCTTCTGATCGCTGGCTTGCAAGAAATAGCGCTGAGATAAAGCATTGATAACTGTCAAAGGAGGGAACACAAAGAAGAGTTAGGGAACCCCATTCAGTGCTTTGCGTTATTAAAATAAATCAAACAATAAACGAACAAGACAACATCTCCCACCTCCCAGCCCCAGAGCCATTTCCAGATATCGGTCTCGTAACCTCTCACATGGAAAAGCGGCCAAGGGGCGCGGATGGGGGGCCCAGGCAGTGGGGTGCATCCCCACACCGGAGCGTCGGGAGGGCAGGGCTGAGCCAGGCTTAAGCCAAGGCTGTGGCACGGCCCAAACTAGGACTTGCAGTGCTGAAGCCAGCGCCTTGCACAGGGGTTCGAGGGCCCCCTGGGACCTCCTGCCTTGGGTGTTACCCCTCACCCGAAACGCTGGTGCAGACCCCGGCGCTGGGATGTGTCGTGCGCTCGGGTCTTTGTCTGGGCTACACCCCTTGTACCAAAGCACCGCAAAGGCAACGCCGTTCCCTTGGCACAAGCACGTGCTTGTGCTGCCATTTCTGCCGCTTTAAACCCGCGTTCGTGGTGCACACACGAGGCGTTGCTGCAGCCTGGGTCGAGCTGAGGCCATCGAGGGGGGGGAGCTGGGTACAGAACACCCCTTCCTTGCACCAAGAGCAGCTCATGCTGGCGTTAAACAGGAAAAAGAACCTGTACTGCACAGCACAGCGCAGCACAACGGGACACACGGGAAGGATGCGGGTCCCACGCGCTCACTCACCAAAGCAGAACGGGGTTTTCGGCTTCTGCTTCGGGGTGGCAATGCTAACCTGCCACAGAGAAAAGGAAAGACAAAATTAGAGATGCTGGCATATGCTACTGGCA